TATGTTAATACAATAGAATATTAATCTGAAATTGGTAATCATTGGTCATTGGCAAATCATAAATGGCTTTAACTTTTCAATCGTCAACTTCCCTTACCTATGCAGCAATATTTACATTTGCAAATGTTTTCTTTTATATAACACTATCAAAAGCAACGCGTATCTATATCCGTATAAACACGGGTTCCTCGCGTCATAAACGTTCGACGTAATTTCTCAGTGACGTCATAAAGGGAAGACGCGCAATCAGTGGATCAAACACGTGCCGTTGGGTTTGAAAAATAAAACTTTTCAGGCGTTAAAGATTATAATCAGGCAAATATGAAATATGAATAAGTCACAAATGTAAATATAAGTAATAAGGTATCATTTTAAAACATCTATCGGGATATAAATACGGGTTGGTACGAGATCAAATTTACCATAAAGCTCTTCGGGCTTTATGGAATTTGATCTCGTGACCAACCCGTATTTATATCCCGATAGATGTTTAAAAATAATACCTTATTTCTTAAATATACCCTTATCACCTGCATACGGGGTTTATATCTCTCAGTTTATTCGATACGTCAGAGCATGCTCTATGTATGAACAATTTCTTAATCGAGGTAAGTTACTGACAAACAAGTTGATGAAACAAGAATATCAGCAGTCTCGTTTAAAGTCATCATTTCGTAAGTTCTATGGTCAATACAATGACCTTTCAAGCAAATACGATCTACCATTAAGTCAAATGCTGACTGACCTTTTTCATACTATTTGTTAGGCCATTATTTACACACTGAATTATCGACGGATTTTTCCGTTATTTCCTGATCATGACAAGGAGTAAACGGCAGTTGTGACTGTTCGGCATGGGATGCTCACTCCTCCATGGCACCTGATCCCACTTGTGATGTCCTAGAGGTTCGTCTTTGCTCTGCTCTTATTTTGTAATGTTTAATGGACTTTTGAGCTCAAATACTGTTCGTTATCTCCACATATTTCATTGTCAACAGATTCCGGCAAAACACCATTCCGATTTACAAGGGGGTCAGTGGCAAGTTCCTAGAAAATATTCCGAAAAATGCAGTCGACTGACAAGCGAACCGACTTGTCAGCCAGTATATACAGTAACCAACCTGTCCTTAAATTATCTCTGACTGTATGAAATCTTTCTACAGGAAAAAAGGATATGTATATCTTTATATTGTGCCAATATGTTAAGACTATCCAAATCATAAAAGAACAAGCGCTCTTAAGTAATAGAGAATGGGCCCTTGTGCTGTTTTAATACAAAAATATTACCAAATCCTTCTCTGTTGGTAATAGTTAAACACTGGTGGATATATCTAATTTGAAATCACGTTAAAGATCACCTAAATCAAATGGATTTTAAACAATTGGAGATATTTAATGCCTATAGATACCCCAAATCCGGAAAAGTCGAACCGATCCTATTTGAGTTTGGTTTATTTAAATCAAGGAGAGGAAACATTTAAATCGGCACTTGAACGATCTGGTGGTGGGTCATCGACGGGGTGTTTGCCGAATGATTCGTCTTGCATTATTTTATCTATAAAAAGTCGAATAAACCTGAATAGTTGCCTGTAGCCATAGTGATCAAACTAAGAATTTTGCACGATAACATTTGAAATAATACAAAAAATATTAACATTATTCCTTTTAGCAATTTTAAATTACAAAGGATATTTAGGTGCCATTTAGGTGTTACAGAGTGAACTGTTTTTCTGTACTGCCATTTAAGAACATATTTTGATTTATTTCTTATTGATGTTATTTAAAACCAGTATATGTAATAATGAGTCAAAACTTTAATGAGTCTAACTTTAATTGAAATATTGTTTATTAATTATTTTTTTCATATATATTTTTAGAGACCCATTAGAAAAAGGCACATATAAACATTTGAAAGAAATTCCAACCTTGAAAGGACATAGTGATCTCCTTCACAAAGTTCCTACAATAGTGCTGAGACTCATGTTACAGAACCTTCTCTTTCTCTTCTTTTTCTCAAAAATAAATAGCAAGAATACCTACTAATTTATTTATGAAAACTTACACATTGCTTCTTAATATACAAGCATCATTCAATTTTAAACATATAAATGGTCTTGTAATCTAGTATTCTTTCCAAGAACGGGTTATTTTAAAGATAAAGGATATGATAAGATAGAAAAGGTAGCAAAATAACTCTAATTTTAGCATTTCAACTTTATGAAATAAAAGTTTGATATGAATGGCGAGTTAGCACCGTTCTTCTACTCTATGTGCAATCAATCAATACATCAATGAATGTATCAGAGGAAACACGACAACAGGAGATTCAAAATAGGCTGGGAAACTACGAATACATACTTCGTTATTATATATATGAGGAGTATATCCATTTTTTTTCCCAAAATTGGGTATTTGTGAAACGATTATCGCTTGAGAGCCATAAGAAATGGAATACATTTCCATAGACAATGCTGCTTAACTTCACTCATTTAATAACAGAGTTTCCATTACCTTTTTTTATAGATTGGTGACAGATTACAGTCCCTGAAACGTTCTACTTTCCCACTTGAACGGTGAGCGAACGCTGAACGAACGGTGAACGAACGCTGAACGAACGCAGAGCGAACGGTGAGTGAACGATGTGTGAACGCTGAACGCTACTTGGTGAACGATGTGTGAACGGTGAACGAACGCAGAACGCGAACGGAGCGCAAACGCGAACGCAAAGAGAACGGTGAACGAACGGTGAACGCAAGATGAACGATATATTCGGAATGCCTCTGATCTTTTCCTTGCATTGAAACTATTTTCTTGTATTATAATGTCAGGTGCCAAAAAAAAAAATAATAATAATAAATAAGTAAACAAATAAATGAATGAATAATTAAGTCAATAAATAAATTCTCCAAAATTGTCCTCAGAAAGACGATGCATGCACATTAAGTTTTTAATCACACGATTTTTATAGCATTAAAACATTGCAATTGTTGCCGAACGCTGAAGTATAAAAGATATTGTTTTTAGTTGGAAAATAAAAATGTTTATTCTTAGTTGATAACAAATCAGAGAAATCTTATGATTTAAAGAATGAATTAAAGCGGTTGTAACTTATATTCATATATATATATATCTCCGTGTCAAGGCAATTTCGTGTAAAGTAATGAAAAAAAATTAATTGCATTTATACGCTCGTATTTTAAATATTTAAAACAATAATATATTATGTGTCATTTCTATTTTTCATTATGATTTTTTGAGCAGACGTCTACATGCATCTCTAGATGGCCGTGATTATACTCGAACAAGATCATGATGATGCAAAAATACATATTCATATTATTTGTTATAAATTCAATTTTCAGAACTTGATATTTAAGTAATATGGTATTATAGTTTTTATTAAACAGACAAATGAGAGAGAGAGAGAGAGAGAGAGAGAGAGTAATATTCAGTTTTAGCCCCCCCCTCCTTTCAGGCTTCACCAAATGTTTGTACCTATATCAAACAAAAACTCGGAAATTTTTTTCTAAATATATCAGACAGTGAAAGTAACTTCTTTTTTTTTTTATCAACAAATCATATCCATTTGTTTGACAGTCATACTTGTTTTTTTATTTTCCTGCTTCAAGTTCACACGGAGTCCACGTGCTTGTCCTGTCAATCAAAATCATTCGACACTGTGCAGGTGTGAAAGTTTCGTCACATCGAAGACGAAGTGCGAGTATTTCCAACAAGTTATAACATTTATTTTTATCATTTCTAGATTTGATTCCAACATTTGAATAATAAATTAGTAAAATACATTAGGCATTAACACTTGAATGTGAAACATACTCTCTGCCAATTTCAAATACCACCGCCGACACGTGTACATTTTGATCTACTATTGTTTTGTGACTTTTTTAGATGCATGTTTGTTTTGAGACTGAAATTTTTTTTCTAAAAAAGACCGTAGCTTTTTTTAAATGTTAATTAAAACATTCTGGAAATATGGTACTGACTAAGTCATCGATTTAGGGGGAAAGGGGGGGTATTAATCATATCGATTAGCAAACATATTAAGTTACGGTGAAGAAAGTTTTTTTTTCTCTATAACTATATACTTTACTTATTACAGTAGAGAAATTCTGTAGTGCATTACATTTTAAATAAATATTTCCTTTAACCACACTATCAATTTAATTCGTTCTAAAGATAATAAATTAACAGGATATAAGCAGTACTATGTATAACTCTCAGAACTAGTACTAGTTCTATTATATTTTCCGTAGTAATTGAAAAAAAAAGTATTAGAATTAAATATTTTCGTAATTTTGCTGCGTAATTATTTGACTTGAATAATTATATCTCCATTAATGATTTGTCGTCTTTAACAAAACAACAAAATGTTGCAGTGCTTGAAGTATTTGCACATTGCCCTTAGTTAACTTTAATATTTCAGCATCGTTCTACATAGGTACAGAATGTGCTTGTAACAACATTTATTTTCCAGAGTAATTTAATAAATAACCTAACAGCTAAGTTAAAATAATAAAAATATATATCGTAGATATTTTTCCTCATGAAATAATGATTCCTCAAACACGATATGTTAGTTAATAAATTAAAAAAAAACTGTAACTCCTTAACTACAAAAAGATAAGTCCTTTCACTTCGGAGTTCCGAATGGCAATGAAAACTGAACGATAGGTGAACGCTGAACGCAAGGTGAACGCAAAGTGAACGGAACGAAGAGCGAACGCTGAACGCTTTGTGAACGGTGAACGCGAGCGCACGGTGAACGGTGAACGCAAAACTGTGAACGGAGAGCGAACGGTGAACGCACGGTGAACGAACGGTGAACGCACGCTGAACGAACGGTGAACGAACGGTGAGCGAACGGAAAAATGGGAAAGTAGAACGTTTCAGGGACTGTAACATAAACTGACCAAACTTAACATAAAATTATTTTAAAAAATCAAAACTGCAAACTTTAAAGAAATGTATAGATTTCATTAGAATTATTTCAGTTCTTTTTCACAAACAAAAGGAAGCTTCGATTTACATGGAAAGTCATTCCATTTTCCTTTTAAATCCAGTGATAAAAGGACGCAATCCTCATTCCTACCAGCGTCGTTTGGTTCTCCTCTGTTCCAGTTTGTGTAATCTGTATTTTTAAGTAACGTCTTGCTCTTGCTCCAGGTAAAACTTCCCTCCTGCTTTATATCACTGGCACCGATCCAGAAAACAGTAATTCTATCTGTCAGAATTTAGAAAGATCGAAAACTTAATAAAAAGTTCCCAATGTTTCTGGCGGTCATAATTTGAACAAACATGAATCTACACTATGTCAAGTAGCTTTCACATAAGTTTCATCTTTTCGGGCCCAGTGATTTTGAGAAGATTTTTAAATGACCCCACTCAATTTTGACTTTTTCGTAATTATCTCTCCTTGGAAGAAGGTGTGGCCCTTCATTTGAACAAACTTGAATCCCCTTTACCTTAGGGTACTCTGTGCCAAGTTTGGTTTAAATAAGGCCTAGTTGTTATGAAGAAGATGAACTTATTAAAAAAAGTTTATTACAACGATGAGGACGACAACGACGACAGAGAACGGACAAATTTTGATCAGAAAATTTCATTTGAGCTTTCAGCTACGGTGAGCTGATGATGTAATTCTGATAAGAAAATGTTAAGTTAATTAGATAGAAATTCAATTTCTATGGAAAAGATTTGTTAGTTCTTACTCGGCTTTCCGTGGAATGGATTCACCAGTTTCTCTGTAATCCAGATATTTTCATTCTTTGAGTTTATTTCTACCAAATACGCCTGATATTCTTCACACTTTTCCTGTCAATACCATTATGTAAGTTAAAAAATGAAAGGTCAATTATTTAAGATGAAAATATTTTGCTTTAAGAAACAAAATAATATCAACCAAAAAGCATACATTTAGAATTTTAAAATTGTATTAAATTTCCAAAAGCAAAAATGTTAAAAACAAATGGTACATTGAAGTGAAGTAAATAGAAGATATAAATACGAACGATGCAAAAGCGTACCTTGGCTTGCTGCCAATTAAGATGCAATTCTTGGAGTATGTATATGTTGTCTTCATAAATCTTCCATTCAGAATCTGTCAAAGTGGGTGATAAGAACCATACAAAAAATATCCAAAATAGCACAAATGGTTGTGGGTTTTGATTCTTCACTTGTTTTTCACAGGTCAATATCTATCTGTACTTATAGTACCGATCTCAAGGAATGAAACTTACTGAGGTTGAATTCTTTGCATTAATATTAAATATTATTTGAATATTACCACATCTTAAATCCGCTATCCATTTTCCACTCGACGGACAACTGAAAAGCCCGGATCCGGTTAGGTTAAACTCTTTGTAACATTTCAGATGCATCTGTCTCCGGATCCCAATTGCATCCCATCTGTCTGAACTATTTATATCAGCTCCCTCTACATAAGGAATACCACAGTCTACAAATAGCAAGCAAGTACAGATGCACATAACTGACCATATGTTTTCATAGCAGGACGTTTATAAGGCTAAATATTTATATCTGAAGAATGTTTATAATTTTTAGCATTGTTTGATTTTGTGTAAATCTGACATGTATATATATGTATTATTATTGGTAAAATATTTTTTGTAATATATTTGCAGGTAATAAATTATATTTAATTTATTTATATTTCAGGAATGTATTATTTAAGTACGTGTATTTTATTCTTTATATTTTATATTTTATGCTTTGCTAGGTTAATATTTGTTTAGGAATTATTCAAGCATTATTTAGTATAAGTTTTCTTATAGTAACGACTTGGAAAGGTCAGTTACCTATCAAGTAACCTGTCAGTGACATTTCAACGGTCGACATTCGGGGGGGGGGGGGATCTCTTAATAGGACTGTGTTATTTTTTCAGGACTGGTCATGCCGATCTTGTTTTGTTTGAGAAGACAGAATATCTTGGGTTTAGTTGTTCCTTGTCTATTATCTGAGTTTACTAATTTGGGTGTATTTCCTAGATTTAAGGATTTCAAGTCTGTTTTCGTACATTATCTATCGTGTATGATTGTGATTTTGAATGGATTTTAAAGTGAGTGAAAAAAAGTGTTTGAATGGAGAATGGAAGTTTGGGTGTTTTTTAATTAGTATAAGTGAGTAAAATACAAATTTCTTCCGACATTTTATTCTTTTTTCATTGATTATCGGTAAAGAGCATATATGTAAAACTGAGTGAAATGAAAAAAAAAGGAAATTTATAGAACTATGTTAATCAATAACTTGTATAATGTCCATGTAGTTAAAAGTTAAGTTGAAAGTTTATCTTTTGTTTCATGTAAATGAAAATAATCTCACAAACTAAAAGCTTACGTATTTTTCATTAAATCAAGCAATTATTAATGACGTTTTTTTTTTTCAGCTAAAGGATATAACTCTTTTTTATGAATGCTTTCATAGGAATATCAAAGTTATACAATGTTATATAATGTTAGCATTTTCTATTATTCAAACCTAAGAGATAATCTAAGTGTTTAATTTTATGTGGTGTTCCATATGAATGCATATGTTTACAGAATTTATTTAATTGTACATGAATATGAATTCAGTGTCATGCATGTTTATATTAACTTAAAAGAAAAAAGACACGCAGGATAATCTTTTGAAGAGATTTATTGTTATTTTTCGAACATATTTTCCAATATTGAAATCTAACATTTAAAACCATCTTCAATCAACAAGTAAACAAAATATTATTTGATTTTCAGTGATAATTCATGAGTTATGGAAACTCATATGACGGTATAACCCCGGAAATGAAACTCGAAAATTCTCATCATCATCTATCTCTCCCTTGCGCATCTGTCACCGCCTTGATTCTCGCAGGACTGTTAAGGCGTACTACGAAGAAATCAACCGAATATAAACGTTTATAAATACATACCTTTTTAAACCGAATTTATTTTTGTAAAGCTACTATATTATCCGCTATGACTTTGATTTTAATTGAAATAACATTGTATACCCCGCTCTGTACGGAATTTAGTTTTGTCACGTTATTTGAGAGTCACGTGATAAATGCATGTAATGTGTACTGTATGTAGGACATAAACAAATTTCAATATTGCAAGGGCATACCCTAGTTAGAATTAAAAATTTTAGTGATAAATTATATCTATATAACTTGTAGTTTATGAAAAGTGCTGCTGCTTTAAATAGAATATGCATTTTATTAGTTTATATTTCAAGTTATTTGGCTCTAGTCGAAATATATGTGACCTTTACCATGTATTTTATTTATTTTTTAAGTAATGCTCTCAATTTCAGGAAAGCAGCAGCACTTTTCAAGTTAAGGAATGTTTCTTTATGCATATTCAAAATATGGTCAAGATCTATTAAGCGTATGCCCTTGCGAAAAGGCGATATAATGAGGCACCTCGGCGTGAAACATGCACACCTTGTACACTAAAACACTATAGAATTAATTCAATACACTCCCTCGATAGCTTTTAAATAATGGCACTAAACAAAGGTTTCAGATTTGTATTAATGGTCTACCTAAGATTTGCAAATAACGTTCTGTTCAATAATAAAATGCGTTTTTCACTGTGGAAAAATTATTTGATCCACGTCTCACTGCACATAAAATGCGTCAAATTTAACTATGATGACGTCATGTCGACAAGTACTTTGCGATCAGTGACTTGTCTATATCTTGCTGTGTGGGATTTAACTAGCGACAAAATGATTGCAGTGGTAAGTTTTGATGTAGTTCATCACTCTTATGCAGTTAAAAGCCGCAAATTATTTCATTTTCTGTTATTATGAGGAACTGCTATATTTGTGTGATGTCATAGTAGACATTTCCCGTATAAATTAGACCCCGCCCCCTTTATGCAGCCTTAACAGAGCTGCGCTCCTCTGCATTGAGCTCATCAATGCCTTTATCTCTCTCATAGAGTTATTATTCAACCCCTTTGACAAGGCAGCCGTAGTTGGTCGAGAGTACCTAGGGCATTTCGACACCTTCAAACCCTACAAGTTAGTGTCAGACTGGAGAAAAAGATGGACTTTATGGAGGAAAGTTGAGTGGGTTAATTTGATTGTTTGCGAGAAAATCTTGATAAACTCTAGTTACAATGGACCGGAGGTTAATATGCCAAAATATTAGGCATTCCACGCGCACGTGCGCGAATGAGAGAAAGACCGACATAAAGTTGATGAACTCACAAACCAAAATCGTGCAATCGATTTATTTCTGTTTTAGGGTGAATATAGCGAATATGATTGCCTAGTGTATAAATAGTGGTGTCAGTGCTAGTGACGTGGCGATTACACAGGTGGAAGGATGAGAAACACAATCTTGACTTGGCGTTATTACACGATAACGTCACCGTCACGTTTGGTTAGAAATCCTACCAGTTTCTCTGACGAGGATAAGACTTTCTAAGGTGGAAAAATAATAATAAACTGCACAGTAACTTGACCTTACCCTTTTCTTTACTTAAGCAATGCAATAGCCAGACCAAATGGAACTTCCCTCAGCCGTACTATGATTGCAAGAAATTCAAATTGATTGCAAATATCGAAAAAACGATTTGTATACCTCCAGTGCATCTAGTGGTATTGCAAGATGCGTTTCATAAACATGTCATCATCAATATGCACGTGCTTTTGGTTTTTTCAACTTTCCTTATCTGGCGTCTTGCATTACAAGATTGAGTAATTTAGAACATCAATTTTAGTATACATTATTCAAGATATTCCACAAACCATTTTTCATAATTTTCAGCTATGCAGTCAATTTTTTTTCGCACATTATATTACCCTGCGTTTCTTTTTCCAATCGGTCTATTTTGTATTGAATTTCATGTGTGTTCTGTCCGGTGCATGAAATTGCATTTATTTAATTTTTTATATGAAATTATATACATGTAAGATTATTTGATTTTACATAGCAGATTATTAATTTGATTTTCTTTTGAATGACTTAATTTAAAAAAAAATCATATTTTTATGATAAATTAATCTGTGATAAAGAAGTGGTGACTACTTTATGTCAACTTTTACTTAATTTGATGAGAATATGAATTGATGAGGAGTAATGGACCTCTGCTCTAATTTTCATAATTTTTTTTTTAACTTCCAAACATTGGTTTTCATCAACAAATGTAACATTAGATTCAATTAGAAAACAGTATGAGGTATCAAGCGCTGTTTATTATTTTTTAAAAGGAATTTTGTATCTGTTCATAATATGAAAAAAGTTGACAGAGAGAATAGGAAGAGTAATAATTTAAAATCAGGACATTAAATTAAAAATATGGGACATATATGAAAATCATTTTTTGTGTCATAAATTTGAAATTCATATTTAAAAACATAATAAAGCGTTGCTTTTGAAGTCGGAATATCACATTCTTATCTGTGCTTGTAAAAAAGCAATGTATCCATCAACAAGACTTCCTTTCTTTAAAATATTATTTGCTTGGGAAGTTATCTATTTTAGAAGAGCGTCGGTCCATCTTAAGTCTGAGGATGATTAAAGTGATGACTTGTTATAATTATGCATATTTTATTTTCATCTTGTTTTATAATTGTCATTGCTTTAATAAGGTCTTCATTATCCGTGTGCTTAGAGTTAATAAATACATGAACCCAGAAAATTTTTGTTTTTCAAATAAGCATCAGAAACAGCGTATAAAAAATTGATAGAATCAGCAAGCAAAGGATAGAACTAGCATGACTAGCATTGATCTGCGTAAATTCAGTATTGTCCTAATAGCATCAGAAACTAGACAACTTTTTTTCTCAGTAAAATAAATTGAAAACATATAAAAGAATAACTAGTCTATTTATCTAACATATTAATAAAAATATATAGAGAACATTTTTAATGCTTTAAACTGTGAAGCTGAAAATCAATTACATGTAACAACTTCCCCTATCATGGTGCTAATTCCAGTAGCTTTGACCTAGTCTTTAAACAGTAAAAGTAGCATCAGGATAAGGAAAGGCTACGGATAGCTAGTATTACATCAACAAGCAAAGGAAGCATTCAAATCAACAAAGGATTAGGAAAAAATCACCATTGATGCTGTAATAAAATTAGTTCCTAAACCGAACATATCCAACAGAACACATAGTATTTTGTTTTATAAAAATACATTTACATTCAATAATTCTGTCCTTAATTTTCTATATCGCAATATTATTATTTTTCTGAAATATTTTATAGTAGTCCAAGGCGACTAGGTGACATATAACATAACTGTAGTTTGAACGAACTCATTCCGGAAGAGAACACCCGAATTGAGATTCTGCAGGTAACTCAGTGTGTACTACCTTCAGTGATAATGTTACCTTAAATATTGTATCAATCACATTGCTATTTGTTAACAAAATCGTGGCTACTTTTTGTGTTTATAATGTCGTGTTGCAAAAAAGCACCATTACATACCGAAAGGAAAAGGAAATGCAGTGTAACATAAAATGACTGTATGACCGAATACTGTAAAAAATGGTCATAGGGGTGTCTTTGTAACTGTACACTGAAATTGGTGTTCAGAATTACTCAGCCGTGCAATGTATGACGTCACGTAGGGAAAATGGCCAAACGCCAAAAACATGCGCATATTCATTTTATGATGACAGTTTGTAATACCACTTGATGCACTGGGGGTATACATATAATTTTTTTAATATTTACAGACAATGTGAATTTCTTGCGATCATGGTACGGCTGATGGAAGTTAAATGGGGTTTGGCTATTGCACTGCCTAAGTAAAGAAAAAGGCATCAACTGGTTGTTGTACAGTTTGTTGTAGATTTTTATCATAGAAAGTTTTTTTCCGTCGTCA